TTTGACTTGGACTTTGACTTTGAGCTGTCCAGACACAGGAAATTAGACCAATGTGTAACAACTCAAAACATAACTGGCGATAACTAGATATCATTAATGAAGAAGAAGATTCGTGGTACGTAAACATATGTCTCTTGTTCTAGATACAAGCATACTACAAGTTCCGGATAGCACATGCTGATTACTGCCACGACTTGTTACCATCGGCCATTCGCTCGCCATTTGAACATTCAATTGTATCCATTTTGGCGCCGCGGGACCAACATGGACGTCGCATCGTGCTGGTCGAATGTGGAGGTCAGTAACCTAGGCTACAATTTAACTATCATGATTATACTGCAGTGTCCCGTGAAGTCTGCATTTAAAGTCTTGTATATTACACTTACCTACGTACGAAGAATGTAATAACTATACTATAATATTTCAAATTTACATACATAAAATCACGCCTTTTATCCCCGGAGGGGTCGGCAGAGGTGCACATTATACCACTGTACAATGTAACACCCACTTTCACTATTTATGTTATGAGTCCCATGTAATAGGGGGTGAGCCTATTGCCATATACCGGGCACAATTCCAGACTCCGTGCTATTACTAAGAATATTTAAAAATCCAGTAATACTTTGCCCGACCCGGGAATCGAACCCGATGCCCCCTTGCCCGGCAGTCGCACTTACGACTCGGCCAACGAGGCAGTTCCATTCTTAAAAAAAAAAAAATATTTTAAACGTGACCTCATACTTGGGTCTCTACTGAGTCGTTGTTGCGTTTACCGTCATGTTCAATACTCACAGAAAGAGTTTTGCAATTAAAGTACTCATTACGTTCACTGGATACTTCTTAATTTTTTATGGAATCGAAGCTGTTAATCCCCAAAGTAACGGTACTTTAGTCGATGATGTAGGTCAGAGAACGGCCAGTGCGCATGAAATTAATACTATTGGTGAAATAGTGCGTGAAGAGATCGAAAATATTTACAACGGCCATATTATGACAATGTTTCAATTGACAGAACCTATATATTCATATTTTGAGACCACTTGCTTTGTGCTAAGTATGGACAAGATAGTTAGGTACCGTACCTAAAGAATATCATAATTCTTTGATTTAGTTTTGTTTATGCCAAGAAGTCTAAAATATATAAATAACTGTCTATTTGAGTATATTAGTGGGAAGCAATAGTGGTGGTTATATCAATTACTGGAAAAAGTAAGAGTAAAATTACTGCTTGCCTATATGTATAGATACTCATGACATGTCAATAAATAAAACAAATGTTTATTCTATTATTAATTAAGTAATGACATAATGAGTACCTACTTACTCAACAAAACAATATTTATTTACACATATAGATAACCAATATTACACATAAATATTACAGACGCAATGTAAATAAAAAGTAACCTTTGAATTTTGGTACAAGTCCAATGAGTTTTTGTCGTAATTTAAATAAGGAATTGTTCGGAAATATGAGACATTGTCGCATTGCTCAGTTGAAAAAACTTTGACAATAATTACGTGGAACATTTGCACTTAGTTATTTGCAATCTATTTTAAAAATGTATGACATATCAAAGCATCTATTATCTTTTATAATACAATTAGTAACTTAAAAGCATCTGGTAAATAAATGGTCGTCAGAGTGTTAATTTTGTGCAAATGTCATCATCTATCTATGCTGTTCATCGTATGATTTGGGCGGTGTAGGGTGCAAGTTGGTGATAAAAATATTATTTCAGAAAAATAGAGATCCCTAAATCTCCACGAAAGGGCTTCCACTTCAGCATGATTTATGTTGAGCCTAACGACCCCCTTGCGACTAAAAAACAAATATACGTCTAAAGTACCTAACCTATTCAAATACTTTATAAAATTTCAGAGAGATGGAACCCACAAGAAGTATCCCTCAAAGAAGTGTTCCGGGGCATCCAAGTGGGCCTTGAAGGAGCGATGGCAGAGCCAGCAACTCAGATCTGTGGAGTCATCAGCGTGTTCGACATGAAGGGCCTGGCATTCAAACACATCATGCAGTTCACGCCGTCTTACGCCAAGATGGTCTTAGACTGGATTCAGGTGCGATATAAAAATTAACCAGCGTGCTTAGGTATAGGACCATCTGCATGAACTGATGAAACCTAAAGAAATATTGAATAAGGACCAACCAGGTGGTGCTATGTAGTTATTGCCTATGTCAAGGGAAAAAGATGTAAAGTTATTTATGTATGTATAAAACTAGAACTTAGAACTGCCATTAGGACATGAAAACCGCAGCACGCCAACCGCAGTTGAATGGGGATGGGTAAATGCTCAGGTTATATACAACATAAGTACCAAGATATTTTTCTGTTTAAATATAGCGTAATCTTGCATCTTGCTGGCTCTATTGCATTCCAATGAAGCTTCAAAAGACCATCAAAGTAGGTATACCTATTATACAAATGCTCAGTAATTTTTTTATGTTATATTTTCTCTAGGTCCTTCTGTGGTACAAAGTTTAGAAATTATCACGAACTAATAGTTCCACAATCGGCACCTGCAAATTTATCAGTACTTAATCCGGTTATTTGCAAATTTTATAATCCTCTTTGTTTTGAAATAGTGATAAAATGTTACTATGATCTGAATGAGGAGTGACAATTAGAACAATTGCTAGCAGTTGTTAGGGTCAATTATTTCAAGCATCGTATGAACATTAATTAACCGATGTGATGACTGGTAAAGTGAAACTTTTAGTTCATCAAACAGTACCTCTATAATCGCATTCGCAATTTTCGTTGGAAATTACTAGATTTGGTACTGATCTGATTATGTATCTGGTTTAAGTGTATTCATTACATGGCCTTGCAATACTTTAGTGGAACTGTGTAATGAATTATCTAAAATAGAATTCTTTGTTCTCAGTAGTGCTTTATAAACACGTAAGTACGTATAATAGGAATAGCCTCGCTCGCTTCTTGTTCGGCGTTCTGAAACGCAATAATATGTTCAATTAATTCTCGCAAGTTGTTACGATGTTGGTCAAAACTTTATTAGGTATATTGGTATACATTCGTGATCGAACAGAGGCCGTTGACCGTGGCTATATTGCGCAACGAAGCCAACACTTGAAGTGGGCTAGCAGACTACCTGTTTGACTAGTAAACTGTCTTTCTAGGTCATGTTTCTATAGATTATTTAAGAGATTTAGGAAAGTAGTTCTGTAGGCCATTCAATTTAGTCCTTTTATGTAAGAATGCTGCTGGTAAACATTTGTAGTAATAGGTTAGCATTTGGCAATATATTGGTGCAATTTACCACCGAACGCCAAATATGTATGAAGAAATTGAAGAACTAATTCTTCAAATGTTTGTTGTTCCCTTTTTTTACTTATTTTTTCACTAATTTAGTTGCAGTAAATTCGTAAATAAGCAATCGAATTTCAATCTTATCTTAGTCGACACTGCCAGTCTGACACATTCGTAATTATTTACAACTTAAAATTAACTACAATTAAACTATTAAATAAAACGAAAGTAAAAAAAAGAAAACAATTGTAGTTCATTTTAAGTTGTTAATATTTATGTAGTACCTAATAATTGTTACTTTTTTAAATTATATTTTTACTAGGTGCAAGTCCCATTCTTCCATTACATTCCAGTCCATTCTTATATCTTGTCAACAATCCTTACTTCATAATTGTCATAGTTATTATCATTACAAGTGTACATTTCTTGATTACAGGAATCAGTACCAATCCGCGTAAAGGCGGTCCACATAATCAACCAGCCGTACATTTTCAACATGCTATTCGCAATCTTCAAGCCCTTCATGAGAGAAAAACTTCGTTCCCGTATTCATTTCCATGGAAACAATATGAACTCATTAATGCAACATGTAGACCCCAAGGCACTGAGAAAGAGGCACGGAGGTCTGCTACCTGACCCCGAGATCACTGGTGATGTTCTATGGAAGATGCTGCGACACTATGAGGAAGAATACAAATGTGAGTATTTTATTTTATCTCGATGGATGCGTGACTATAGCGTATTGTCGAGTGAAAGTTTTTTATGTGCAAGTCACTGCAGGTTCTTCGGAATTATGTAATATTTTAGAATGAGTGATGGCTCGCCCACCACTGGTATTTTAAATATGGTGTGGGAAGAGTACCACAGGGATTGTTTTTGTGAATTTACATAATGTGAAATGTTCTTGCTATTCTTCAATAAATGTGAAGAAATGTTAGAAGTGATGTTATGAGCCCGATTTATATTTACTGTAGTATCTCAATTTTTATTTTAAGTACCGGTAAAATGGGGTGAATAGGGATCGAGAGGTGAATAAAGATAGAAGAGGGGTGAATCGATAATATGAAGAATTTCCCAATAACTATTCACCCCTCTTTTGTCTTTATTCACCCCTCGATCCTTGTCCACGCCATTTTACGGCACTCCTTTTCAATTAATTCGATTTTCTATCGGATGCTATTCGGTAGCGGATAAATAGTGATTAACAGCTGATATTTAACCTAATTTTTCTTTTACAGTGGCGAATTCATACGGCTACGTGCAGAATGTGAACAACAATAAAACATAGAACTACGTTCGGTGCAGTCATGCAGTACAAAACACAACTCATCCGCTCAAATATTTAAGTACTCGCGTTACGTATAGAAATGTAATTCTTTGCATTTTAGTTATAAGGCATAGTAAGGTAAATAACAACTGATATTAGTATAGATCTAAATAAAATAAACAAAAGTTAAGTAGGACTTTTTTATTCTTATAATTATTGAAAATAAAGTACAATATGGTTGGTGTTATTAAATAAGGAACCACTTTTTAAATACAAAATATAATCGTTTTATTTTTTACTCGATTATCAATAAGATTAATAAATATGTCGATATTATTGACATTTATATAAGTTATAAAATCATAATACACAGTATAACTATAACCAAATATTTTTTTTGAAAATATATATTAAAGGTATACAAGTTCACAGTTATTTTTTAAAATCATTGATCACCATACTTATACATAACATTACAAATAACCCTTTATTTATATACAGAAACAATAATGTTACATTTATCTACTTATGTGCTAACTATCTTTCTAATATGGTATTTGTCATGGATTATTTCTGCGTGTATGGCATAATATAAGTATAAAGAATTGGTATTATATTTATTGCAACCAATTTATTTATAATTTTTATAGAAGAACAAAAATAACAGAATTTTTACATCTGTGACTCGAAATCAGTAGAGCTTTTCTCAATTTATTTCCGTGAGTAAATAGTTTTTTGAGTTATTTCAGTATGTCCCACGATAGCTATTATAAAAGACAGAATTTTAAAAATATTTTTTATCACAGCCTGTAATTTTTCCTTTTCGTTACAGTACATTCCTTTTAGCTTTAGTTATAATACATTTTATAAGTTGGAAGTTAGTACAGCAATATATTTTTACGTGGACACGATATCCACAAAAAATCATTCTTCTCCCATCAAAACCTTTAGGCAGGAATTAGCGTAAATATATAAATACACAAACATTAAAATTACATATAAATACGTATTTAAAATCAATTGAGATTGGTCCAAATACCCAACTATACAATATTATATCTCATATGCAAAATGCACAAGCATTATTATAATATATGTATAAAAATTCATAATTTCAGCCAATACAAAAAAAAAAAATTAAATTTTAAATTAAGTTTACATTTCCTTACTTTATTTCTACATCTTATAAATACGGAAATGCTGGCTGAAGCCTTAAATCATGGTTTGTACATATAATCCTAAGTGTAAGTATCATTATCACGATATGCGTATTCATTATATCACATTGCATAATATCATCCACGTTACCCTCGACCAGCGACTATCACTTCTTCTTGTATCCATACGAGTTGATCGCTGAAAATAAATAACGACATTTATTATAGGTGAATATTCAATTATGGAAAGAATGCATGACGATAATACATTTTATTTTCACATTTAGGTACATAAAAACACTAGCAGACCCGACAGACGTTGTCCTGCATATTATGATATTTCAAGCGATAAGGATATTAAAAATAGTATGAAAGGAAAGACCAATAAAATAATAATTATTATTGTTAGTTTAGATAAATAACTTAGACACTGACTGCATCGCCATCTGCCGATCTGATTTGTGAATTTAAATCATCCAGGGCGTCACCGAAACGCAAACAGAAAATTTTATTTAAATCGGTCAAGCCGTTTAGGAGGAGTTCAATGACATACACACGTACAGCAGAATTATGTATATAAAGATTAGAGTGTAGAACTAATTTATATTTTAAATATCGTTATAATTTATGCGACCATGGGGCCGATGCACTCTGTTAAATTTTATTGAAGAAATCACACCTTGGTCACTTAGGTACATATTTAGTCAAAACCAAGTCACGGAAAGATTTCTACACTGACAAGGAACTTACCACTAAACTCTTTATCACACATGAGGAGTAGTTCCAGCCATTGTCCTCCAGTAACACTTGGAATGCTAAGGGTGCCGCCGTACTTGTCAGGCAAGCATTTGGGGCTGATGTACTCATGTAACATCTTCCTGTCGCTGCCCATGAACACGATACGGGAGCGAAGTTTCTCCTTCAGGAAGGGTTTGAAGAGTTTGAACACCATCTCGAAGATAAATGGCTGGTTTATGATGTACAGCCCCTTGATGCGGAGTGGAATAGCTTCCTGTAAAAATTTGTATGTTTAAGAATTCGTTTTTTTAAGTTCTGTAGGATGTTTAAGTGTGGAAGAGCCATGCTTCGGCACAAATGGGACGGCTCGACCGGAGGGGTACCACGGCCTCACAGAAGACCGACGTAAAACAACACTTGCGTTGCGTTTCGTCGTGTGAGTGAGGTTACCGGAGGACCAATTAGCCTCCCTCCCCAGTCGCCCCAATCCCCGAATCCTCCACAATCCTCAAATTACAGAGGCTTGTAACGCCTTGGTGTTTCAGGTGTCCATGGGCGGCGAAGATTGCTTACCATCAGGTGATCCGTCTGCTCGTTTACCGGCTTATGCCATAAAAAAACGTTCAATTACGAACAATTATTCAACATTCAATGTGCACACTGTGTTATATTTTATTTTCGATTATCTTCGTATTATACTAACCTGTAGCCAGTCGACGATTCTGTTGGCAAAGCTGGGGGTGAACTGCCACACGTGCTGCATGGATAGACCGTCCATGTCGAATATGACGACTGCTCCGCAGATCTGTGTTTCTGGTTCCAACATGGCGGCCTCCAGAAACAGCACGCAGCCCTTGAACACCTCGTCCAGAGAACATTTGTTCGGCTTCCATTTCTCTGCAAAAAGTGAAATTAGCAAATTAGCAGTTATGAATATGTTTTAATCGATTTCAAAAAAAGATGTTCTCAGTTTAACGTCTATGTATGTATGTTTGTGTGTAGCGTACGGTGTACCTATGTATGTATGCTTGTGTGTACCTATGTATGTATGTTCGTGAGTGATTATCTCGCGATTGGCTCAACCAATATTGATGCGGTTTTCAGAAAAGCTTTTGTTACACTTAGGAGAAGGTTTTAGTATAATTATATTAATTAATCGACTTTAAAAAAGACGGGTTCGAAGCCGGTTTTTTAAACGTATCTACTTTATGGATGAATTATAAAACCTAGAAGCACCTTCTTAGACGTAATTTGAGGCTTAGAAAAATATACAACCGAGAACATGCATTACGTAACGATTTCTCACTTTAAATTGTTCGTAGGTCATGGTTGCAGTAGATAATAACAAAACGGACTAGTTAACTATAGTACCTCTATTTTCAGTTGAGTCTGACCACAGACGTAGTTGTTATTGTATAAATCTTGATGATTTTACTAATGAACATTCAACGGTCAAAATTTTTAAATAAATAAGGTTCTTACAATATTGATTCATAACAGGTCAGACCAAGTTTAAGTTATTCGAGTCAATATTTAAAAATTAATATCAAAGTCAATATATTTTGAAACTGGTTGGTATGCGGAGCAGTGGCGGGTATTTTATTTAGGTAGTAAGAACAAGATGGAGGAGTACCTAAAGAATATAGTACCTAGAACCGGCGAACGAACCATCTTAATACATACCTAATTCTAATATTTAAACTAGCCGTTGCCCGCAACACCGTCCGGGTTTTTTTTTTTAAGAGGGGAAAATCATCGAATGACGGCTCCCGCCTGGGTGAGGCGGGAAGGAGTGTCACTCTTACTGACTAAAAACCACCCCGTTCCTTCTCCTGCACGTCGAGTCGGAGCCCCGGTTACCCGTTAGGTTAGTAGTTTGAAGAATGGATCTAAGTAAGGTTTTTAAAACCAATCTATTTTTGTTCTGTACGTTAGGTACTGGTTCTTTTTTAACTGTTTACGTAAAAATTACGCAAATTGATGATTCTGACAATATTGTTGACGTAGTCACAAGAACATATAATGATCAGGGACTTGTAAATGATATTATGATGAGCGTTTGTTTTGTACATAATGTGCCTGGTTATTTGTTCCTTATTATCTTGGGCAAGCTTGCGTGACTGACTGCCCATGTATGTATTGTAATGCGATTTATCTTATTATCTACACGTATATATATTAGATATTTATTGAGGAATTTACATTTGTAATTAGGTGCATGCTAATTATTATTATAGCTTTTTAATCATGAAAATTACAGAATTATTCTCTACTCAAACGCCACTTATAAAACGCGCTTAAGTATAATTCTGTCACAACAAATTCTTTGAAAAATGACAGAGATAGCACGGTATTTAAGTATAATTTAAAATTGAGCCTTTCAGTATTCGAGCGCTCTTGGAATTGAAATAAGCAAGTCATGTTCGCTTAGTGAGTAAGAAATCTATGAAAGTTTCTATAGCACTAAGCAACAATCAGAAACCTTAAAGTTTTATGGATGTAAAACTTCCCGATGAATACCCTATAATGCGGATGGAGATTTTCGCATCAGATAACTACGCAGTTTAATTAAAAGTACCCTTAACCATCAAGCATGCATGAAACGATTGATCACTGTTGATGAAGCGAAAGAGGTATGTAGGAATTATAGTTATTGGAGTTCCACAGTCTCTGCCTACCCGGGAGACAGGCGTGAAGTTATTTATTTATGTATGTATGTATGTATACGTTTTTTTTTTGAGGGAGGAAAATCATCGAATGATTGCTCCCGCCTGGGTGAGGCGGGAGGGAGTGTCAGACTCTTACTGCCTAAAAACCACCCCGTTCCTTCTCTTGCACGTCGATCCGGAGCCCCGGTAACCCGTTAGGTTCTTCGCGACAAATATATGTAGTTTACCGTCAAAACCTTCAAAATGAAACATAACTGCTACGAGTACTCACTTCCTAACTCAAGTACTAGAACTCGCCGGCCGTACTGGTCGCGTGTGGGGAGGACAGTGAGAACGTTCTGGATGAACACGTTGGTCTCCTTGCTGGGGACCAGGCCGTCGTAGTGCTTCGAGTGCTTCAACTTGAACCCGTAGTAACGCTTGATCTGGAAAAGATGGAGGTAAGACGTTAGATCAGACAAAAAGTTTCAAAACATTGAATGGATTACCACGGAACCAAACAGATGGATTACATGGATTTAATTGAATCACTTAAGTATTAGAACTCTGTTGATAATCGCAACTGTCATAGATATTCACAGGCGGTCGTTAAAAAAATTAAAAAACGTCAATAGTTGTCATAGATTGTTATTCCTGGCTGTATTCTTTATTCAAATATTCAAATACATAAACTGTAATGCCCACACCCACACCTGCTGTAATACATGACGCTGGCAGAATAGTCAACTACTAAATACTGGAGACTCAATTGCCATAGAAGAAAAAAAAGTGCACATCTTAGTCAAAATTATAATCTTTTGTAATTTGATAATTGTTTAAGTTTCCTGCCATAATAAAATAATAGGTATAATTATAACGGAATTATAAATTAATTAATATATAAATAAATATAGAGGTAAATAATCTCTAGCTACTTAACTACAGACAAAAATGTCACAACACGGAATCCCTTCCATTGGGATATTTAATATTATTGCTTGATAAAATAGAATGTGGTACTTACTAAGTCGTAGGCACTCTCAGGGTAGAACTTGCAAGGTCTCAGGAACCTGATGAGCCAAGCCTCACTATCCATCGGCACTGACATATCTTTGTCCTCTGAAACAGAAAAATAGGAAAGTAAGTAAACTTCTTTCTTTCAAATGTTGACAAAGTTATTGTCGATGCGTTGGTATTAGAGTTTAATATAGCCGATGTTCATATGTTCTAGAGATTTAGTTCTCATGGCTAATGCTTTCAGATCGTCTGAGTAAGTAGAGTAGTAAGCAGGTCTTAGGTGCAGAAAATAATTTATTAATTTAAGAAAAGACACAGTAAGATATCCATGAAGTTAATGAGCCAAGTCAAGCCAAGTAACTAATAGAAACACACCACTTAATATCATTTCTAATGTAATGTTCTCTTTAACACGTTAACCGCCACATAGGTCACCGGTGACCTACGTTAGCAGAGGATTTGCCTTCAACAGTCTTCGGTCGGCAGTCAAAGACTCAAATATTTAATGATGATCTTAAAAAATAAAATTCTGACGTCGATGCGGACGAGTTTTTCGATGCCTTATAAATAGTTTATTTTTCCTATAATTAATTTTAATCATAAGTTGTATATATTTAATTTAATAACACAAGGCATTTTAAAATATATAAATAGTTTATTTTTCCTATAATTAATTTTAATCATAAGTTGTATATATTTAATTTAGTAATATTTAGTTTTAATTTTATTTATGTAATAGTTGATAATTAAGTTTTTTATTGAAATACATCCTTTTTAATATTCAAAAAAAAAATGCAGAAAGATATTTAAAGTTTATTATATTCTTCAGTCATAGGATTTTGCTATGTAAATATTGTATCATGACAGGTCATGCAAGGTTCATCCACTGTCAGTGTTCATACAATACAATGCATGTTTCTCGTCAAACAGAATGAATGGCAGACATGATTGACATTTTTAAAAAAGGTGTCACATCATAAATATTTTATTTTAAAATATAATTATCAATTTTTAGTAGTGACATCATTGTTTCAAAAGAGAAATAAATTATTGAAATTAAGTTATTTAAAGTTTTATTTTTTGTTCTTTAGACAATGAGTATTTAATTTTAACCCGAGGTCAGGACAGGTTATTGAAGACAGGACTCTGTTCAAAAATTCGATACACAATGTTGCTGGTAAATTGCAAATTGAATGAAAAAATTAATTACCTGCATTGTGCACTTAATTTAACAACAAAATAATTAAAATGGAATTAGATTACAGGAAATTGCATATGTTTATCAATGTCATATAACAATCAAATATGTATTTGTATGTATGTATGTCAAGTGCGTTCTTTGTTTACCTACTGTGTTTTTTAATTTGAGGAATATTCTGGGCAATCTACCTAACCTATGTACATTTATTTGTAATTTGTTTACAGTACCGAGTAGGTACTGGTATATCAGAATTTGGTCATCAATTATTTGGTAAAGGTATATTGACTTATAATCAGGTAAAGTAAATAAGTTGGTACCCATACCTAAGTAAGGTCCATTCAATAATAATGACACAGCGTTTTGAAATTCATAACAAGAACTTCAAATCTTTATTTCTATTTTAAGATTAATAACTTAGGTTGTGTGCTATTGGTTTTTATCCGCAGTTTTTGTATGCAATCGTGATTAATCACGCAAGAGGTACATAGGTGGCGCTTTATATAATTTTTTTGCTTACTTTGAGGAACAATGGTGTTAGTTCATATTATTATACCATTACGCTGCATCATTTTGTACTTGTATATCATTGATACCAGACTTGTCCTTCGCAGAATACTATGTGATTTATGGCCGATTTTTTTTGCTTAAAAGCAGGCCTATATTTGGACTAGGTAATATCCCCTAAGCGGTCACCGGTGACCGCTCTCCACTAAGTACATTATTTCCAATGTTTAGAGACTACTTTTGTATGAATATATTTAGGGGATGATTTTCAACAATTTTCAACGGGTTTATGCTGTATAACTATAAACTTTAAATATATTTTACATGGTTCAAAACCTTATGCTTGCACCTGCGATCGATAAAGCGATCAAAAGTCAATCGAGTCACCTATTTTTATTCAGATAAACGACTGGCAGGCAATGCATTGCTTTGAAATTACAACATTAGCACTTAGTTCATATCATCGAACATGCAATAATATTACATAGCACTTATATATAGATAGATAATAATAACATGAAGTACTGCCGATAGGAGTTTAATCATAGATTAGGCAGCCTTCAGGTATAGATTAGAAACGCAGCTTTGATATATTGCACTATTAACCATTAACCTAAGTTATTCCAATAATTATGTCTATCAGTGCAATAAGCTGAATAAAATCGAGTATAATTGCTAACCCTCAGTAGAAAGATCAATCTATCTATACATCTTATATATAAAATTCTCGTTTCACAGTTTTTGTTGCCATAGGTACTTCTCCGAAACGGCTTGACTGATTTTGATGAAATTTTTGTGCTTATCCGGTGTCTATGAGAATCGGCCAACATCTATTTTTCATCCCCCTAAATTTAGGGGTATTCAGCCCTAATTTTTTTTTTTTTAGACAAAATTTTTAATTTCTATTTTTTTATGATACAACATACAAAATACAAAAATACATACAATCCTCAATTTTCACCCTTCTACGATCAACCCTTATTTTTTAATAGCCATTTTAGTAATTTAATCATTTTTCCTCTCCGGTCGAAAACTGATCAATCGTCTACAGGTGTCACTTCTGACCCAGTAAACACGGAGTAGGGATGAGAACGAAGCCGGTCTCCTTTCTTTCTCACTCCGTAGGGAGGGACAACTGTGTAGACAGTTTGTCGGCCATCATTATAGTTTTTGCATCAAGTGTAGTAGTAACGTTGACAATTATTATTTTGCTATCTCAGTGTAACTCCCATATTAACTCTGTTAATCATTCCTATTTTATACATTATAATTAAAAAAAAAATAGCCAATACAACGTTTGCCGGGTCAACTAGTATAATAAAATCGTGGGAAAGTGAAAACTGTATATTGCATATTTTTTTAAAAGAATGCTTCGGGCCTTATCGACTGGCGATATCGAAACTAAAAATATGTTTGTTAAAATTTTTGTCTGTTTCTCTGTTTGTCTGTATTATGTACGGGCTAAACTTAAAAGTACTACATAGATTTACTTCAAATTTTGCATGAATATTACTAACAGGTCGGGTCAACATATAGGTTAAATATTATCACGCTATCACCTACGGGGGAGGAGCTGTGAATCACTATTACACGCAGACAAAGTCGTGGGCACAGCTAGTAACAAAATATAATTACATTCTGTGTTTTGTCTAATTTTGATAGTGTTCTATTAACATAAGTAGCCTTAATTTGGATATGGCAAACACAGAATATCTCAAGTTACGTTATGCCTTTAACTCGTCGAGTACCGGTTTTGTAGACACAATTATAGAACAATAGGTTGCGGTCACCGATGACCGCTTGGTGTTTGACAGTTTAAATTCTTTATCAAAGAAAAGAGGACCAGTACTACTATTACTGTGTTTGTTTTGTGTGTGTTTGGGGTAACGGTAGAACAGTTTTTTGGTATTGTGCAATAAAAGTCCCGGTTGAAATATTATATCCAATATGAGTAAGCCAACAGCTAATCAATAAATTTGATTTGCACAAGTAATTTATGTAGATATGTGATGTTTACTTTGTCATGTATGCTCACTGTTCTTTTGTCATAATTTTATGACAGTCTTGTTCCGCTTGTGTCGTCATTGACTTAGGATTTATTAGGTACAATACAAGACTAGGCTATTGTTTTAATATTGAAATTTCAATCATCATGGCGGTAATTTGAATTTCTAGGTTTTAGTAGACCATTTAGCTTGTTAGTCGTGTTATCAGTTGCATTCTTACAGGGAGATAATATGGGAAACCTATGATGAGTTCATAGTTACAAACGGAACGGAAAATTTGGCCATCGAAAATGAAAATGAATGAAATGTAGTCTGCAGGTAAGTCGAAATCAATCGATAACATTTTCGTTAAGTTTTTTTTCATAAAAGGAAAAGATACTTCTAAATTTTTAAAATGATGAACCGACGTATGTACCTGTGTGATACACAGTTGAACTCAAGGTTATCCTAAGGTGAGTGAACCTCAGGGTATTGCTGAGATCAACCACTTTTTGGATAACAAAGGGCACAGCTCGGTTGGCATATACAGTGATCGGTAAGGGCATCGGTGGCAACGAATCCACAAACAACATTTATTACCTGTTTGCCTGACTTCACGGTCGGTGCAATGGCTGTGCTACTTGTCACGGTTTCGATTACCGCACGGAAAAAATATGGCCGAATAACATTCATTAAATATTTTTAGCTCTCCGTCCACACACAGCACACTAGTTAGTGAAATATTGTTATTGCCATTGGGTTTTCCATTCCTGATCGCAGAACAATGTAAGTATGTATTAATGACCGTCCTATGCAATTATATCTTGGATTAGGAATCTTTGCTTTGGTCAGTAGAGAACGTCAATCGTTCAATGGCCCCACGAAATGGTTGGACGGTTGACTCATTGCGCGCTGTCACCAATCTACGGATACATTTGGCTTTATTTTATTTATTTTTTTATGGCATAAACCGGTATACGAGCAGACAGATCACCTGATGGTAAGCAATCGGCGTCGCCCATGGACCTGGAACACCAGAGGCATCACAAGTGCGTTACCGGCATTTTGGGGATTAGGAGTTTGAGGATCGTTGGGGATTCAGGGATTGGGGAGATTGGGGAAGGGGAGGGTAATTGGGCCTCCGGTAACCTCACTCACACGACGAAACACAACGCAAGCGTTGCTTCACGTCGGTTTTCTGTGAGGCCGTGGTATCACTCCGGTCGAGCCGGCCCATTCGTACCGAAGCATGGCTCTCCCACACTTAAAACCTTACTTTATCGACCTTTTATGATAACAGTCCATGTTCTAAGTTACTTAAGACTACAGGTAACGTTTATAATATTAACTCGTCGAGTACCGTCATTATAGACACAATTATAGAACAATAGGTCGCGGTCACCGGTGACCGCTTGGTGTTTGACAGTTTAAAAAGGTTCCAAAATAATGTTTCGGTTATGATTGGATTTCAACGTTTATTCAGGTTTGAATAAAGATTGATATGTATTTAAGTGAATGCAAAATATTTACCTTTTACAGAGAGGTAAGTGCAAGTGCATTGCACTGCAAAATGGAGCAGTGTTAGAGGATGTTTTAAGGGATATATTATCCCGTTAGGTCATCTGTAAAATATCCTCATCAAACCTTTATTAGTAACATAACATAACATCACGCCTTTTATTCTCGAAGGGGTAAGCAGAGGTGCACATTATGCCACTGTACAATGTAACACCCACTTTTCACTATTTATGTTATGAGTCCCATGTAATAGGGGGTGTGCCTATTGCCATATACCGGGCACAGTTCCAGACTTCGTGCTACTACTGAGAACTTTTAAAATACCCAGTAATACTTTGCCCGACCCGGGAATCGAACCCGAGACCCCTTGACCGGCAGTCGCACTTGCGACGACTCGGCCAACGAGGCAGTTATTTTATCTTCATTAGCATCATTAGTTAATTTATATAAAACATAAATATAATCGTAATTAAAAACGACACAACGATACAAAATAGGTATGAACGTAAGTACGTAGCACAAAAGAACTATTTTTTTGAAAATTGGTTTAACTGTTTAGCTGTAAAAGTGTACCAGACAGACATTCTTATTTGTAGTACTAATATGAGAACTGTTGTTATATTCTAGTTTATAGTGATTTCTCATTTACCGGATATTGGAACAAGTCATTAGCACCAGAGTATTTGTGTCACAATATCAGTATCTTACACTACATTGTAACGATTATGTACCTAAGTACTAGGCACAACAGATAACAAAAGGTTTTCAACTTTATTCTTTCCTAATTAAGTTAAAAATAAATAAATAGATACCTATGCGTTTTGTTGCGTTGCGTTTTGTTGTGAAGAGGTTTTGGAGGATTAACGTCCTCGGGTCTAATTATTTTTATTTTTTTATTTAAGCTTCATGCATAAAGTGTACATTAGATTTAATGCCGCAGGCATTTTCGCCCAGTCTGACCTTTGGGTGATGCAGAGAAGAGTGAATGATAGGAGTAAGAAGCAAGCAACGATTTAATAGAATAAACAGAAGACAGAACAGGGTCTAATTATTTCAACTAATAGATCATTGAATTTTTTCCTTTACATGGAATAGAACAGATTTTTTCTGGTAAGCAAAGAGATTAATGGAGTCTTCGGTTCGATGTTCAATGCATGGAGGTCCATTTTATATCGGGTTTTTGATAAAAGGCTCACTTTACATATGTTCGAAAAGAGGGTGAGTTAAGTTATTTAAACCCGTTTACTGTAAAACTGATGTGTATGTATGTATCAAGAAGGATACTACAACCTTCGTTTCAGTATTAACAAATATCATCCAATGACATGTAAAATTTAGATGAAATTAAGGAAATTATATAACTATAAGTAAACGTAGGAGGAAAATTCAGCAGTTAAATATGAATTAGTACAAGATACACGATATGCAGTTTTTACAATAGGTCACAAGAAAACTTCCTGGTTCTTATCTAAATTACTGAATATTCTGGAGGTAATCGGTTTTTAATTCAGAAGGTAATTAGTTTGTTATCAGTTTGGGGACTACCCCTAACTCAAATCTAGGTCATACTGTACTAATAAAGGGTAAGCATTAAACAAGCAATCCTAGTGTGGAGTCCGGGCCGTACAAAAATGTAATGTTAAGCTTTTTGTCAATAAACATATATTGATTGTTTCCTTGTTCTGCCTATGATTACATTTTTCTTTGAACTTTCTGAAAGTGCCTAAAAACGGAAATTCGTTGTTCGAACGATTTTACTCTCTTCAGTGTTGTCTTATTTCCGTAGTGTAGGACCATAGGATACGTGAACAGAAAGTGTTGCAGGCGTACATAGGCCACAGTAACCGCTTACCATCAGGTGGGCCGTGTGCTTCTTTTTTTGCCAACTACAGGCGTCGTGGTATAGAAAAAAAAAGATGTGCATTCGCGAATAACTGGTATTACCCAGTTTCCTTTGAGCTCGTGTTAAAATAATTTTGATATTAATTATTACATACCTTCGAGCAGTCTCTTAAGTTCCTCGACAGCCGGTTTGACAATTTCTGGAGTCTCCCTCAATTCCTTTCTGGCAATCTCCCGCACTGAGTCTCGAGGCTCATCCAGTTCGAACTGCAGCAGAAAGTCTCCAAGCTGCACACCTGGAATCTTGTCCAGGTCTGTGAGCATGTGCTGCGATACTGGAACAAAAGAAATCGTGATTTAATATAATTATCATTACAGCAATACTTTTATAACTCCGGGTCTTTGATTATTCGGTTGTCACCTCCAATTTCGAGATCACCACTACAGTGCCTACCTCTGCCGGACTCAACCACCACTACGTCGGCAGCGTTTCACACGCTCTCCTTCTACACTTTTTGTCCAGCAGTTCTACCTATTCCTGGCAATGCAAGCAAATTTTTGTGACTGGTACGTTTTGGGAATTTGAAAAGACTGACCATCGTATTATATTCTATAAATGGATTTAGTATCAGTATGTCATTGTACTTAATTTTACTGTATTCGACTTGTAAAATACAACAGTTTTACACTTTTTTTTGTTTCACACATAACGTCAAATATCACTGTTAACTGTTTAACCAAATAATACTTCATTTAGTTTATTTGTTTAAAACTTTTTTGGGAATTTGGTGGCCAATTATTATAGATGAACTCATGTGAAGACTATGTATCATTACATAATGTTAGATAATTGAAAATATGTAAGGGATGTATACACGTCTCTGTACAACGTACAATGCTCAATTATCTATGTATGCATGCAGATTCATACACATTATGAGTGTATGCTACAATGAACATCAATTGCATATGCGTACAAGGCACATGTGTTAAAAGACATACTACATAAGAAATTAGTATCTAATGCACTTCGCAACTGCACTGATAGGTACGTGGTTTATTATTACATTTTTTTATAATAGACAAACGTTTATGATGCTTAAGTTTTCTGTTGTGTACTTACGACCATTTTCAATCACTAGTCAGTATATTTGGCTAAAAAATCTTCGTCACATATTTTTATGTGTTTCATCTAGAGATGAAACTATTAGAGCAGTCAGTCAGCGAAATCTATCGTCAGATAGGTTTTTGGTCGTTAGTCGTAATTGTTACTACATAATTAATCTTCAGAACAGCAACCTCGGATTAATAAAAAATAATGACCTGGGAAATACCTATTTGTTAAAATCTTCCATGCAAGCAATAATCGCTATTGGTCTAAAAATAGCCTAGATTGTAAAAACAAAAACATTATCTATTGTTTCTAACTCCTTCAGAGTTAGTGTAATTAAATTATGGAATGCACTACCCCATAGTTTAAAAATGGCTCCAAACAAAATGGCTTTTAAACGTAGTGTTCGTGAGGACTATTTAAAGGCGCTACAACGCTGAGTTCGTGTCTTCGTCAATTTATATTATATTATAATTATATATATGAAGTTATTTATGTATATGTACATATTTTGTGTTTATTATATATTTTTATACAGTATTTATTATTACTATTAGTTATTTATTTTGTTTTTTTTGGATATTACACAGGCCCATTTTCGCTGAGCTTACATTTAACCCAAAGGTTGACTGGGAGAAAATGCCATATGGCATTAAGTCCGCCTTATGTACCTTATTTTGTGTGCATTAAAGTGTAAATAAATAATTATGCACTAGATCTGACTTACTGAGTAATGGATTTTATTCATTATAGGTACCTACTTATTTTAGAGTTTTATCTGGTACTTAGGTACTATTAAATGTTTAATACTTGATTAGGTAATACAAATAATATACCAAATAACAGTTGACGCGGTTTTAATGAAATGTACCTATGTACCCACTAAAATAAATGGGACCACTTCCAGCTCCCTAGCTTTTTTTTTTGAGGGGGAAAATCATCCAATGACTTCTTCCGCCTAGGTGAGGCGAGAGGGAGTGTCAGACTCTTACTGACTAAAAACCACCCCGTTCCTACTCCTGCACTTCGAGTCGGAGCCCCGGCAACCCGTTAAGTCTTCCGCGGCTCCGTATCGGCTTTAGCCCTGTTGGGACCCATCTGTGGAACTTCCAGCTCCCTAGCTGGAAGTTCGTTCTTCTTTGGAAGCCTTCGTTTAGAAGTTTTCATCTGAACTTCTCTGATATTTACTAGAAACGGTATAGTTCCGCCACTGTTCACTATGTGGTTGCGGTTGTTAGTAACTGAATTTCTGTACGTAATTTAACTCGAGTAGATCCTGATATTAAAGATTTAAAATTTTGTAATTTACTCATATTTTAGATGTTTATTCATTTGAAGAGCATATTAGGTACCAATTGTGAACCAATTAGTAGGTACATTCATTAAATTAGCTCGAGGTATATTTATAATCGTTGCGTGCATCTTAAAATATACGTTATTATTAGGTGATTATGATGATATTCGATCGTGTGCAGTGTTTTTTTAGATGTCCATTACACATTTATTATATTAAGCCTGAATGCTTGATATTAACTGAAGATTAGTGTTTTAACATTCTCGAAAATTCTGAGTACCTAGCAGCATGGATCATTGCAACCACTTCACCTATAAAAATACAATCGAATTGAGAGAAACAGAAACGAACGAACTATTAATGAGAGAAACCTCCTTCTTTTAAAGAAGTCGGTTCAAAAGGGTGTTAAGTACTTGTTACATTTCTGTCTATAACTTGTATTTTCTATGGGGGGAAAATCATCGAATGACTGCTCCGCCTCGGTGAGGCGGGAGAGAGTGTCAGACTCTTACTAACTAAAAACCAGCCCGTTCCTACTCCCGCCCCAAGATAACATGTATAGATATAAAATCAGTGATGCTATGTTACTAAACAGAGGTGTATTTACAGCCGGTTTTTCGTTGTCGTGCTATTAAAGCCAATGTAATAAAGGACGGGAGTGTTGCCAAACGCCGGGAATAATTACGGATTCTGTGTCGTAACTTCGAAATAAAAACATTGTTTGACCGACCCGAGGCTTGGACCCGCGACCTTGCGACCAATACACCGGCCTATTTTTTATAGACAAAGATCTAAGTATTAATCCATTTACGCCAATTAGGAGTTAACACCGTTCATTGCCTTTAATGACTGCATTTCAAAAACGCATCTGGATTTTATGTATTACTAGCTTTTACCCGCGGCTTCGCTCGCGTCACAAAAGAATAATATGTGATATATACCAATACACACAGCGCCATCTATACCAATACTTTTGTTTTCCCTCAGGAATATCATTTTTTTCGGGATAAAAAGTACCCTATTATTTAATCTGGACTTCTAACTTTACGTCTGCAAAAATTCAAAGCAATCGGTTAAGTAGTTACGGCGTGAAAGCGGAACAAACAAACAAACAAACAAACTCGCTTTCCGATTTATAATATTAGTAAGAAAGTAAGGATAAGTAGATAGGTAAACTTAAACCGTGATTGCGATCTGAGATTTGAGAACTGCATTGCAACTACACCTTCTATTTGCGTCACTAAATATTCCGTAGGTATATTTTGAAATATCTGTACCTACTTTATAGAAATACAAAGACCTTGCTATTCGGCAAGCTAAACGATCCGAAACGTTGTAGAAAAGTTAGGTTATCTACTTAGAAAACAATACAATAATAAAGATTAATATATACCTCTGTCCATATTTAGATGAATTGTGAATTAAAATTAGCAACAGAGTTATATTTACTTAGATACTGAACTAACACCCGAAATATTTTTTTTTCCTTTTGGCAACGGAGTCTCCAATACAACCCGAAATACTTAAATGAAATATTACGAAGACACCGGTCGATTTATTTATTGTGCGTGACAGATACATAAGTATTGTTTATGAATGAAAGTGCGTTTTGTTGAGTTTTAGTATTTTGTCGGGTAGATATATTTTTTAAAGTTTACATTAAACTACTGCTTTCTTAACCATTGAAAACCTGGAGGATTATTTTAGGTACATAGTATGTTATTTTATAACATTTCTGGATTTCGATATCTCTCATTTCTCGATATCGATTTTTTATCACAGAAAGAAAACTTACTTAGTGAATCGGAAATTATGGAAAATATTACTCACTTTTTCCCATTGTTTAATATTAGGTTATCCTTAACAATAAGTTTCACTGACAAATAACGGATTAGGACACAGTACGACGTTACGGTAGGCGCCTAAACACACGACTGGCTTTCGGTTAGCCAACATTAACTTATAAAACACGTCGGGTTTGACTTCGGTAGGTAGTGTACCTGCGGTGGTTTATCACTGAACACATTAGCAGTCATTAGCTTCGTAGTGCTATCTAGTAATGGGGTATACCGTCTCATGAATGACAAGTGACGTCACGAAAAATCGACCAATGGTCATCAGACTGTGACGCGTCCTTGGAGTTGTTTGTATTGCAACTATGCATTAGACCAGTTTGTATGCATCATGAGATGAAATGATGAAGAATAGAAAATTAATCTTTATTTTTGGGATTTTTTCACGGGGTTGTAAAGAAAGTAAGTAGAATTATAGCGATTAATGTTAAAAATAGAATTTGGTAATTATGTATTGACGATTTAAATATTAAACTACTTAGGTACAGTGGTGCATAGGTAGGTATCTACCTACCTAATGCAAAAATTTTCATTACAATGTTTAAATTATAATAATTAATTTGAAAGTTATCTCAATTACTTATTTAAGTTAGTGTTTAATGTTTACTTATGTAGGTATCAGCTGGAACAGATTCTTTATTTAATAATCTGGATCTTGTTTTACACAGTTGAAAACCAAGAAATATTTATGAAACTTTTACTTAATTCGTCGAGTACCGTCATTAAAGACACAATTATAGAACAATAGTTTGCGGTCACCGGTGACCGCTTGGTGTATGACAGTTTAATTGATCGAACAGGGCTTGCCTTCCGAGTTAGATACATTACTAGAATGTAACATGTACTGATTAGAATGTAAATGAAAAGTAGGTAAAAATGTATGGGTGTACCTAATGTAACTTCTAAGGTTAGTAGGTAGGTACCTACTTACTATGTATTGTACAATGCACCATAACACTTCGGAGAATAAAAGGAGTAGATAATGTTATTTTTATATATATCTTTAAAAATAGAATATTATTTTTATGATAGAAATAAATTACATACTTTAAATTGACATGAATAATATTCTTGTAA